ACTGTCAATGATTAAAAAAAAACACGACACTGAGTTCGACAGAATTTTGGCTGCAGTGGAAGTCATTACACTTTATCTGTCATACTGATTGTACACACTTGGAAATACACACTGTATAGTACACACGCAATAGTACATACTCGGTAGTACACACTCAGTCTGTAGATGTTATCATTCTATGTGCATGACCATCAGTCTGATGATTCGCCTGTATTACTTCAACAGGGAGGCGTTCAAGAGATTCTACCAGGAATACATGGCATTCACTCATCCCACTGAGGACATATACATGGAATAGAGTCCCAGAGATTCTCGACTTGATTCGGCTACAAAATGACAAGGCGTTGCCAACAGAAGTGATGAAGAGTTAAAAAGCATTATCGTGTCTCTTACCGTGAATATATTGACCTATAGAAGTATATGTTACATTTTCGTGCAACGCGTGAGATTGTATTACTTGTTTAACCCAGTCTTTACTCCCCATTTTCTAATGGGTTAACCTGTCTGTTTCAATAATTTTCCAACATCAATGAAATTTACTTAAGCTTTTAATACCAGGCCCTATTCAGATTTAGTTCCATGCTGATATTTTTTTTTTTTTTTTCGATCTGTCATCGTTTAACTTGAAGTATTTCGTTACATGTTGTTTTGTTCCTTACTTCTGTACGAACTGCATGCGTTCTGTAGTGCCCAACCTGTTTTAAGTTCACATGGGCAATAATTTTATGTTTTATGAAAACCTGCAATATTTAATAAACTGGTTTTGACGAATTTAAACCTTTAAAGAATGCACAGGTTTTAAAATATAAATGGGTAAATTTACATGAGTAATGCGGTTTTCAAAAATTTGCTGCAGCGACAGCATGAATGCTGCAGGTTCAGATGTTTTCATGTCATCAGATTTTATTAGTTGATTCTGTCTTCAGAGCATATACTTTGCGCAAATATGTAGAATACTCGACGGCCTAGTGCATTCGCCTGCCGATCTCTCTGGATTCGGTTTGTCTGTGCCCACTTATTTGGAAATACTCAGTCTCATAAAATAGATCCCACTCAAGGAACTGCACAAGGGAGAGGTGATCTCTCGCCGGCGGGACGAGGTAACAAGTACAATAGAAGTTACTGGAAACCCGCACCTGGAAAGAATGAGACAATAATGTTGGGTATCTGCCAGCTTAAGCAGAATGGCAAGATAAACAATCAACCAGATAACAACAAGTATTATCAGTGTGGAGATATCATTCATGTTGTAATGTTGAATCGTTACTCGGATAAACCCATTATTGTTTGTGAGGTAACGCGTTCACCTGATACTGATCACGTCATCTATTGAATGCCGACTAGTGAAGAAACGTTGACTGAGACTCCTGTCTTTAAAATACCAAATGGACATGGAAAAGGATGTGCTCTGTGCAGAATGATGAGCCTGTCAAGTGCAAACATGCCAATTAAAACGTGTTTCTCATATCAGAAATGTGCAAATACACTGGCACCAATGTACTAACAGTCTTACAGACTCGCCTCAATGGAAAAGACAAATATAGGCAACAATAACAATCCTGAATCCGTGAATTGTGCTATTGTAGCAAGACAGGACGAATGATCACGATTATGGATAAACGTTTTAAGAAAACGCGATTAGCATAGATAGCAAGTTTAAACTGTTAAATTTTAATTCTTGCAATATCGTGCACAAATATTTGCAAGAGGTTGATCTGTAGCATGACCAGCTATTTATAGATTCACAATCAAAAATGGCCTAAATCGTATGACTCCACAGGGTCAGCGTTATGCCTGATCCTTTACTTGTCATTGCTTGCTTCTGCCGTCTTCCACGACCTTCGACCTTTGTTTATGGCATGACTGTGTTATAGTGTGTTCAGCCACCGAACTTGTCATAATAATTGCCATTTTGGTTTTCAGTCTGTGAAAAACCATGGTGATGGCTCTAATTTGTAAAGACAAATGTACGGGTGTATGCGTGTGTGTGTAATGGAAACTGGCTAAATATATGTCGAGAAAGTCTTTAAAAAACGCATAGACACAAACTTATTAAATAACCAATAAAGAGGGTTAACCAAATAGAACAGAGTAATAACATATAAAATATCATCCTCATCATCATTTGCCCTGCCCAGTGGCGTTGGTTTAGTATACAAACCTCACGTCTCGGTCTGTTGTGCTTTCTGCCAATAATTTTGCTGATATTACTACGTGCCATCATCGTCCATCGAACTGGACGATGTATCTCTGTCTATCTCTTCTAGATGCCCGATTTTTAACCATTTGAAAATAAATAAACCAGATCGCTAGTGCCTGCAAACACTTTCTGATTATTTCTTTCAATGCCATACACAGTTTTAGTAAAACATTTCCGCAAGCGGGTACCGGACCCCATTTAGTGGGGGTGGGGTGGGCACTCACTGTCGCGTCTCATGCAAGTCGTAACAGGCGACGAATAATGTCTTTCTTTCATTGGATGTATTGGCCCGAAATGTGCAGATATAACAGCCTAGTTGTAAACTAATTTAAAGTACCAACGGACTTTTTTACGGGCGAACACACAAAATAAGAAAGAAGAAGTATAACGCCTAAGTACCCCGTATCTGCCATTCCGTTTTTCTTTTATGTCATTCGTCTTCAATGTCGACGTTTGTGGCTGGGGCGTTGCCAACAGGTGCCGGGTTCGATTCCAGCTATTTGCGATTTGACAGCAGACTGCCTTGCGTTGGTTTTAGCAGTCGTATCCAGAGCCGACCAATAAGTTTACAGTGCCGACTACTCAGTGTAAAAATTGTAGAGTGAAATTACGAATGTTAAACCTCTTTTGACTGCTTAATGATTTTCCTAAAACTTGTGAATTCTCAGAATTTCCTTAAAATTTGCATTTATGGTACAAAGACAAATTGTGCTGGTGTCTAGTTCCTTGAAAAGAATATTTTCTCCAGGTCATGACAGTGCGTTGGGAAATGAGCAGGCAGATAGACTGGCTGGCTCTGCACTACTTGGTGGTGAACTGATGTATGACAAGTTAGATTTTGTGAGGCCCCTATGGGAGCGAGTGAACAGTGCGGAAGCGCAGATAGAACATGAGGGTCTAAGGAGAATGGCTCTGCGAGAAGTTACCAGGGGATCTGGTCGACACTCAACACTCAGGGAAAGGATGTGATGGATGTACAATCAGACGGTTACTGTTACCATAGGAATTGGAACTCTTCGCTCGCTGCTGAAGATGGTGATTGAGCACTCAGGGAGTGTCCCAAGTGCTGTGAGGTCGAATTCTAATTCAACATGCAACATTCCTTGATAAGACTACTGAGTCTGTTTTCTCGACATTCAGCGAAAGTTCTCATATAAAGTTCAAAAGTTTTTGCAGGCGTTGTTCGTACTTAGCTAAGACATGGTGTTTATACTGTGTCCCCCATTTATTACAAATCTGATTTTATCTTTCATCTTTCTCTCTCGTTATTGTTTCGATCTAAAGATCTAGAGAGAGGAGGTCCAAGGCCACATACATGCTTGTCTTACTCCTCGCTTTATCTTTGCACACTTTCTTATTTTATTACCTATCTTAATAAAGCTAATCTGCTTTATGGTTATGAAACTTTCGAGAATATTTAGGTAAAGCTCATATAGGCTTATAACAAGAAATGGGAGGAAGAGTTGCAATTACTACAAAATGAGGGGGTGGGGACACAGGTCTAACACCACACAGCATATAAACAAGTGTTCATAATTAAGAATTAAACAACATGTCCAGTATACAATAGCAACAAAGGGGATATCGTCTACATAAATATATATTAAATCATGTGGGGTCACTAATAACTATGGATTACAAAAATAACAACGAGGTAACATGCTTAATAATATTTTATCTATCACTGTCGAGAAAATGTCAGAAAACGAGTTATAGAATGCTGTACACCTGTGATTCATACACACTTAATAAATATTGTAGGAAAAAAAAAAACCGGAGAACTCATAAATGTATTTCTGCGTAGAATATACGAATCTCGTTGATGTTCAAGAAAACCAGTTTTCGAGTACTGCAGGGGGCGAATTTACACAAAATATGACTGCCCAGTTAAGGACAAGACAGTCTTAACTTGTATTTTAATTGTTTTTTTTTAGCTGAGAATATGAAGAAGATTTTAACACATGAGAAGCTGGGGCTGTTGGAAACAGTGGTCTAAATAGAGGGAAATGCTGAACGGATCGTATGTTGATTCTGAATAGAAATCATCAAAAACACAAGTAGACCTTTGTGGAGGAACTTGATCGTTTTCACCGTTTGTATAGCGCCTGCCCTAAACTACAACTAATGAAGACGGATCAACCAAAGGATAAATATGTTACAGGTTGTACGAGTTACTGGACAAATGTAATTCTTTGACATATATTGCATATGTTATTTCGTGCAATTATTAAATCTGATGTGGTATAAGTAGCAAATATGTCGGTGAATAGAAATTGATAACAATGTCTATATAATTAATACTTTGACATTTTTCTGGAGCTTCAGTACCAGTAACTGTATTTCTATGTAACTTTTCTTAGATGTTTCAAACAGTGTTTTGAGCTATAGTAAGAAAAGGGCATTGTAGAAGTTTTGGAAGCGACTACACATATCGCAGGTACACAAAACATAAAACACAGCTATGTTCAGTACCCGATGATGAAAAAGAAGATAATTTTGCCAGCATCCTAGGATGTGTCAATAGCAACCGTGACAACATGCTCTAGATGTGAGCATGCTCTCATGCATACAAATATCTTTCAACAAGTGCAGCTCTCGTTGACAGACACACAATACTACTAACACAATTTTATGATACTCTACGATGTGATTCAGACTAATCATGGCTAGAATTTCTCACTTATAATTTAAACTGAACGTGATCCTGTTTTAATTCTACAACACCCAGAAAGACTATAAATTGTTTCAAAATAATCTTTATCGTAATAATTTATATACTTTCAGCTGCCGAAATTACATCTAAATTGTTCATAAGCGCAGTCAAATCACTTTACAAATGATCATCTTTACATTTAAATCTGTAAAAACAACGGATCAATAAAGTGTTCAGTTTTCTTTCATATATGTTTTGGTTTTAAAGAATTACCATCTCTGATGAATGTTATGTATGTGAATGTGTGTGTGTGTGTATATATATATATATGTGTGTGTGTGTGTGTGTGTGTAATTGTACATGTATGTCGATATATCTGTGTGTGGTTGTGTTTAGTACATGCCGACCTCTCTCCAACAGCCCGCGTTAGGTGCTAGAGTGCCGCTCCAAGCCAATAGTTTTGGTGCAATTGACATTTCTTAGCCAACATAATTGACACACAAAAACTAGACCACAATTATAACCGATACTGCTCGTTGTAGGTTGAACGTGGTCGATTTTTTCTTTTTGTTTTACATAAAAAAATGAATGGATGGATGGATGGATGGATGGATGGATGGATGGATGGATGGATGGATGGATGGATGGATGGATGGATGGATGGATGGATGGATGGATGGATGGATGGATGGATGGATGGATGAACCATCGAAACTGTGATCCACTCGAGTTTGTAATGCATGTTTCAAGATCTGGACGTTTTGTCTGATTGCGAACTTTGTCCCTTTTTTTTGTCACTTGGACCACCTTTCTCAGTTATCTCATTTCTGTGGCCTGAAGCTGGCTTCTGTGAGTGTCATTTCCCATGACCCTCACCAGTAGTTCAGGACTGGCACATAGATAGAACGGCAAAAAGTCGTTTTCGTTCTCTTGACATTTTCTCTTTTGCCAAGAAACCCTCAGCCTATGACCTGGAAAAGTCTCCCAGCCGCTGCTTTTCGTGTAGCCAGCTCTGTCTTAATGCCTACATTTCAGTTCAACTCAAAGAAAGGTATTCGAACTGGTTGACCTGCTCCAATGCATACTGTCCCATCATGATCTGATATTTCTTTAACGTGGTTTTAGTTCTTGGATCCCAGCTGCGGGTCATACGCCTTGCGTTGGTTTCGACAGTGGTATCAGGGAGCTGACCGTCCAGGAACAGTGGCAAACTACTGGACGTAAATTTGCCTAGTGAAATCACACAACAGCCAGGGGCTGATAGGGTTGGTTCTGCAACGTCCTGTAAAGGATACGCAACTAACCTTTTTTTGTCGGCTCTGTGGCTAAGTCGATGCGAACACTTCGCTTCGTAATGCCGGGATGCCGGGTTCGATCGCAGCTGCGGGTAATGCGCCTTGCGTTCGTTGGTTTCGACAGTGGTATCAAGAAAACCGACCGTACAGAAAACAATGGCAAACTACTGGACGTAAATTTGGCTATAAAAATCACACAACAGCCAGGGGCTATTGGGGTTGGTTCTGCAACGTCCTGTAAAGGATACGCAACTAATCTGGTTTTAGTTCGGAGATACTAATGGTCTTCCTGTTCTATTTAAGCTCTTCCTTTTAGACAAGTAACTTGTTTGGAAGGGGTGCCTCTGATTTAGCTATCAGGGCCACATCGTCTGCCAGATCATCAGGTGTCATGCCTACTTACTGGGCTGATCAGACTTCTTGCGAACTCCGGCATGTATCACTTCGTGTATTGACACATTTTATTGCTATGACAATAAAGCTGTTAAGGATCTTCTCTCTTTGTTCTCCTTCGCCTTTCCATAAATTAAGTCAAGTGGATCATGTGTCTTAGTACACTTATTTCTGCAGGTAAGTTATATAGTCATTTAGTGGTGACAGGTTCGATAACCCGCATGGCCACTATAGCTTTCAATGTTTATGTTGTCTAGTGTGTCTTTTTATCTTTCTATTTTTCTATGAATGCCGATCGATATATGTTTTTGTGTATAATATATAATTTACGGATGCACATTTCAAACGCCCCACTATAATGTATGCTGTTGCCGAAAAGTTGGAGGGTTTGTGTATATGTGTGTGTGTGTGGGTGTAGGGGGGAGGGGAGAGGTTAATGGATCCCCCCCCCCCCCCTATGTTTGTCATGCGGTAGAGAGCGAATGGCTGCTGGAAAAGAAACGGCATGATTCAAAACACGTGTCTGGGTATAGACTACGGTTAGTTCAACGTTAGTCTCCCCTAAGTAGAGTACGTCACTTTTCATTCACAAGTTTGTTGGGCTGGTCGACATTCATGAAGGTTACGGGTGTGTCCCGCTCTGTTGTTTGGTTTCTCCGATGTCTTGAATTTACTTTTTCATTCCGAGAAAGATAATGCCTGTGACATAGGTTGCAGCACTCTCTAGGGAGGTTGTGTTAGACCCAGCTTGTCCATGTTTTTGGAGTGTTAAAAGCGCTGGTATGCTGAAATATACAACACGCGAAATCAACAGCATTGCAGAACACCCCCGCAGTCTTGTGCGAAGGTCACGCAGCTCGGGAACTACCAATCAGAAGTGAGCTAGTGTGTATATGGGCAGAATCTGTTGAGACTAACGTCGAACGAACATAGACTACAGGAAAAGAATGAAAGTTACACGTACAACACGATGCCCAGCAGCTATGGCCGTTAAAATTATGTAGGTATTTTGGCGTTACAGTTGGTAAAAAAAAAAAAAGGCCGTTAAGAAACAAAACACCCAGTGTATGTGTTTGCAATGCCACGATCATCTGACAACGACCGCCAACGAGTCATTGGTATTTGGAGACCGGAATGAGCTCGCATGTCATTGCTAGAGTTGAGTTCAGTTGAGTCAAGAATTGATATGACATCACTCAGGTCATTTCCATATGCGCTCCGTCCCTATTCTCAGCAGCCAGCGCAGAGTTCCAAACTAATGATGCCGGTCGCAATCTGGTTGTATGTCTGTCTTGCCTTTCCTCTGAGCGTAGTGTGCCGGTGAAACCCTCTGGTCACAACCAGGTGCATCATTCTCTCCAGCCCATAATCTAGTTTCTCTTCTGACTTTGCTAATTGTTCCAAAAGGTCCCTGACAACATCTGCCTTGTCATATAGAGCATGCACATGTGGTGCAGATCCAGCCCATCTGTCTGTCTGTTCATTCCCCGCTACGACGGCATAGCCTAGAGAAAAGATCTAAAGTGTGCTCACTACCCGTGATCTTGCAAGTGAAGCTTGCCACTCTGCTCGAAGCAATCCTGTCTTCGTCTCTTTTTTTTTTCAGCATGCTTTTAGAGTTCGTTACAATTACATTGCTTGAAGAATGAATTGCCACCACATCACTATTCTGTATCAATGAACGTGACAGAACCACTGCAATGCCGAGGATAGATATCGGAGTGCCAGCCACGAATACCCCTGCTCAAGATCGCCAATTTGTTCTGAGTCGCCTAAGAAAAAGTTGTCTTCGGCAATCGACCAGAAACAGCAATAGTGAGTGGACATCGGTAAGTCTCTCGAATGACAGTCATACGACGTGTCAGCGATACAGAAGTTAATGCAAAACGACTTTGTGTAGGGCCAAACTTGACTTACAGACATCGTTCTATTCACAGACGAGAGCAGATTCAAACAGCGAGATATATGGAGGCGGGTGATATTGACATGATACTGACATTGTGATAGTTAAACTGCCAGTGGCGTTTGATAGTTGCTGAATTTGTACTTCATGCATAAAGGATTAACTTTTTTGCTTCATTTATGTAATTGTCACTGTAGTATGCACCTGGAGAGATACCACGAAATATGCCAGGCACATCATCATCATCATGTAGCAGGTCCTTTGCAGAACGTCGCTCTCATTACAGTCTGCCTGAAAAAAACTCGGTCTCTCGCCAGTTTTCCCGCCTCATGCACTTTCACACTCAAGGAGTCACTTATATCCTGTGCCCATCTTCGTGTCGGTCGGCCAGGCATTTAACCGTGCAATTTTTTGTTTGTGTCTTTTTTGACCAAACTTGTTTATTGTTTCGTTGCGCCATATGAATTTTCAATGCAAAGATTTTCCTTAGCACCGGATGTAGAAGTCGTCGTTAATGTAAATCCAACTCTGCTCTGAGAGGTGGTCACCGGCGATAGGTTCTCTGCGGTGAGAGGTGGTCACCAGCGATAGATTCTTTGTCACACCTTTACTTGTTTATCCTTCCAACAATGTCGTTGAAAACACTTCCTCTTCTCTTTATTAATCTTGGAGGTGAAATGATATACATCCTGGATCAACGATTGCGTGCTCAAAATATAGCAGAAGAAAAATCAAGAAAAGGTAAAAAAAAAAAAAAAAAAATTCATTTAATATGCAGCATATTTAAGCTAAATGCTAGTGAACTTTTATTTGATATATTGGGTTATTATTTGACTATAAAAGCATCACAGCTAAAAAGAGATTAAAATATCAAATCCAGTGTTACACTGAAGCTTGCTAGTCAGTTCCAAGAGGAGATATTTACATTTTTCATTTTAGTGGCAGATTTATGGGCAAATTATAGTGGAAACCTACGAAATGACTAAATGTTTGCATTTTATGGCAATAACTATTTTTTTTTTGGCTCTCCTCCGAACTTTGTCCCCATCTTATGGCAAATACCCTAAGAGGGCCTCAGTCGGATGTAAAATGCTGAGTGCCTGCCGAGGAACAAATCGCGGCAAAGCTAGGATTGCCTCCAAATAACAGGCCAGTATTATCAAGGGCAAACAAATACTCTAACAGTGTCAGCGATATGTTAATTGCGGACCTGTTTCTGCGACTATGCCGCACCACCGACAGTAATTGATGGGGTGCTAAACTAGATGGCTGGGACTCATGAGCAATGAAATTGGAGGAAGTTGCAGGAGATGCAGTAGCTGCTGCTCATGAGTCCTAGCCATCTAGTTTAGCCCCCCCCCCATCCGCGCCACGTGTAGCGGCGTAGGGGATACACTCGGTGGTGAGTTTAATCAAAAGAACATTATCGTTAACCTGCATCGGACCGCCTTATCTCCCCGCCATTTTGCTGTTATCGTGTATATTTTTGTGTTTCTCAAAATTGTCAACAGACAGTAATCCTAGTTTTGCCGCAATGTGTTCGTCAGAGGAAGTCCGCATTTTAACACATGACTGAGGCCCTGTTAGGGTATTTGTTTGGCTGCAATAATATGGGGACGAAGTTCGGAGAAAAGCCATTTTTTAAAATTATTGAATTAATCCTTTAGCAACTATAAATCATTGCAGACAGTGAGGCCTAACTGAAAATGTATTTATTAAATATGTAACGTGCAACATTATGGGCCTGAATTACATATGAAAATGGCAGCCAGTGCACTGTTATTTAGTAAAACAGTATATATTTATGGTGATTTGCCAATAAACCTGGCAAGATGAATATACTGTGCGGAGTGATGGGGCGGACATATGGATCTCTCAGTAATGCAGATATAAGTCTTTTCTTCTTCAGCCTTTCTATCCCCCAATGGAGCATAGGCCCTCAACCAACTCACACCAAGTCATTCTATCCTTCGCCATTACATGGAGCTCTCCCCATGTCCTCCTCATTTTTCTAACTTCATTCTCCAGCTCTCTTCTCTATGTGTTTTTTGGCCTTCCTTTATTCCTATGCCCCTGTGGGTTCCAATGCAAAGACATTCTAGTTATGCTGGTCTCCTGTTTTCTCAGTTTGTTTCCTATCCAACACCAGCGTCTTTTCCTCACCTATTAATCCACTGGAGCCTGTTTAGTTCTCTCCCAAAGCTCTACATTAGTTATTTTATCATATTATCTAATTAACATTTACAAAATGGCCACCAGCTCACTAGCTTTAAGTAAGCACTTTATGAGTTATTGACTAAAAAAGGTTTTGTTTTTAACTGCCAGGGAATGAAGGAAAACAATAAAGGATAGAGAGAATTAAGGGAGGAAGGGGCAGACGGGTGGGGAGATGACATACGAACAGACAACTTGGACACATAAATACAATTCCATTCATGCGTAATTCATTTTTATTTTCCAGTGCTTCATGATATAATAGCCACAATGTTCAATCAGCGATTTATAGATGAATTATTTAAGCCTCAGCCATTGTATTCCAAGAAAGCCATGCGAACTGTGTTTGACCGACTGGCACATGCATCAATCATGAGATTAAATGCTGCCAGTATGGATAAGGTAAATAATTTATATATTCTGTAGGCTGAGATTTAGATGAGTGTAGCATTGTAACAGAGTACTGTAGCATTAAAAAAAAAGAATATTTTATGATTATATTTGTTGGTTAGCGTTTATTTTCCTATAATAGTGCAAAGTTGAAAGCAAACAGATAACATTTAGTGCCACAAAGCCTGGGTTATGATATAACCACGTTATACTCATACAAATACATAATTCGCTATGTGGGTTCCTGGGACCCATTGTGAGGGGGATCAAAATAGACAGACTGGCCTCCAAAAAGCATGTCATAAGAGGTGACTGGGTTTTTCCTTCCAGTTGGAGAGCATCTGTCAGAGAGGAAAGGAGTCAACTGTCTGCATACAAATACCCCTGATCTGTTCTGGAATTGTTCTGGAACAACATCAACGTCCAAAAGTGTATGAACAACCAGAACCTTCTGATGGAGTTTACAGGCAGTGAATGCTAAGAAGAAGAAGAACAAGATATCACAAGGTCTAGTTTGATCCTGGACGTGGAGATGGTCACTGCAACCTTTCTCTGGATGAAGAAGAGGCCGCACACAAATGTTTTGATAAGTGACTTAAAAAGCATGCTGAGAATGGTGAAAACAGGTGTTTCTTAAAGTTTGGTAAACATTGCTTTGGAGGACAGGGGTAATGATATCTTTTTGGATCTTTTCTGTGGGCTCGCCAGTTATGCCAGTTAACAAATGAACAGGCTGACATACTGGCTATTTCTGCACCACTGGTAAACTTATGCATTACAAAGTAGATGTTGTCCTTTAACTTTTTCAGTGCAGGCAGATATTGTTTCACTTATTCTTTAGCAGAAATTGTTTAATTTAACTAATAAATGACTGGGTAATCACAGTTTCACCTTCATAGCAAATGGGTCATCCCCACAGTTGCTCCACTGCTGTGCCAACGAAAACCACACAGTCTGTCCCTTGTGAAAACAGTTGACACAGACTGCAGTCATAGCAAAGCTGATAGCATACATATGCATTACATGTGAAAGGGAGCCATCAGAAGTGCCCACACAAACAGTCCTGTACAAGAAAAGCGGTGCATCATTGATGGAAGCAGCAACCACAACAGATCAGTAGTTGCACGCACTATTAAGTGCATAAGTCACCACCAGTTCTCTGGCAACAGGCCACTCATCATTTTCTTAATCTGCATTTCACAACTACAAACCTCGTTGGGCACAGTTGACAAGCATTCCAGTTGAAATCACAGCTCACAGTGCCATGCCATGCTCAGTAGTTAGGTGATAGAACTGTATGCTTTCAGTCTACACATGAAGAAAAATGCAATGGCTAGCTTACAGCCTTACAGAATGAATAGACTATCATGGCCTACAGACAACAGTGCGACAGGAAAAGACAGATGATCTGGCCAACACTCAGAGATGGACATTTGGTTGGTCTACAACTAGCACTGTTTGTTTTGGATCTTTACTCAGGCTACTGAAGATGGGAAAAGGATGCTCCACTCAGTTCACCTTTTATATATCTTGAAGGATCTTAACTAGTTGACAAGAAAAGTGTCAGTGTCCTATGTACTTGTTGATGTTAGTAATAATTACCATATTCTTCAGTGAATAAGATAATTTAGTTTCCGAGGTTCTTTTAGTTTAAAACTGAGGGTTGTCTTATATATACGGAACATGATTTAAATCTTTATTTCATAATTCTGGGCTTAAAAGGCAATTGGGGTTGTCCTGTACACGGACAAAATCTGGTACATAGAGCTGAACTATCTGTCTGTCTGTACTTCTAATAACTATACTGAAACATGTTTCCTCATATGAAAATCTGTACTCTATAGGGAACAGAAAGAATTGTCAAAATAACCTAACTCAGTGGTTCTCAACCTTCCTAATGCCGCTGCCCTTTAATGCAGCTTCTCATGTTGTGATGATTCCCAACTATAAAATTAATTTTGTTGCTACTTCATAACTTCAGTGAATATGTGTTTTTCAATGGTCTTACGCGACCCTGTGAAAATGTCGTTTGACCCTCAAGGGGTCCCAACCCACTAGTCGAGAACCACTAATTTAACTAGTCCACTGACTATTTTCTTGATGATATTCAGATTGTTGTCAAGTAATGACTATCATATTACAAAACTCACAACAGTACATTTACCTTGGCATGGCCAAGAGTAGACACATCAGCAGGGGACAACAATGGCAACAAATTTGGCCAGAAAAATCTTTTCATCTTCTGAATACAACAACCGGTGTGAAATGTTGGATGAGATGTCTTTTTATTTCTTTCATCTAATGAATATAACTGATTTTCCAGTTACTTACTAGCCTACATTTCCCACTTGTTCTATTCACAAAATCATTTGCAAAATAAATTAAATATATTTGATAAGAGATCATCATGTATGCTGTTAAACTAATTGTTTGTTAATGAGCAATGTTGACATGTTAAATTTTGTTTACAAGAAATTTTAAGTGTGTGTATTTTTTTTTTCCAGCTTTATGATTTAATGACTATGGCATTTAAGTATCAAGTATCCCTCGCCCTGCGCCCAAAGGACATTCTCCTGATCACATTTAACCATGTGGACGCCTTGAGATCTTCTACAGAGGAGGGTGATAATGTTCGGAAGCAAGTAGAGCATGTCTATGACAAGCTGACAGAGGTCAGTAAACTCTCAAAGAGTCATTATTATTTACCTGTTTTGTCATGGGGATGCTGAGCCATCTGTCTTGCCATTACATTTGTTGAAACATTGTTTGATTTCTTTTCCTACATTTTGTTTAAGTGGTTAATTTATCCTGATAGATCCATTTGGAAATTTGATTATTTTCATTTGTTGTTTGTCTTTATATAAGTTAAAAATACTAGAAGGACATACAATGAGCCTTTACTGCCCTTAATCCCCCAGTGGAGCATGGGCCTCCAACCAACTCAAGCCAAGTTGACCTATTCTTCACTATTGTGCGCAGCTCACCCCTTGTCCTCCCTATTGTTTTTGTTTTTATTTGTATTTCACTCTAGCATATATTTTTCTTTTTTTGTCTGCATTTACTTGTATGCCCCTGTGAGTTTCAGTGCAAATACATTGTAGTTATATTGTTCTTATGTTTTCTAAATGAAAGTCCTATTCAGTGCTAACATCCTTTCTTTACTTGTTGATTTACTGCAATTGGTTTAGTTGTCTCACAATGTTGAACATTAGTAATTCTGGAATACCATTTTATTCCCTCTGTTCTGCACATACACCAGTTAATTAATGTTTGTATGTGTGTAAATCTTAAGTTGTTCTCCATTTTTCCGCTCCATACAGCAGCACTGATTTGATATTAGAAATAAGAATTTTGTTTAGTATTAGTTTTAATATCCTAAGACTTCAAAAACTTCCTAGTGCTGTAAAAACTCTTCTTACCTTTTGTATTCATATTTTAATATCTGAATCATTTTCCCCATCGTTATCAACATTACTGCACAAATAGGTGTATGATGCCTCAGCTAGGAGTGAGAAATCATAAAGAGAAATTAGATTGCTTTTGGCCTGGTTTGTTCTCATTATCTTTTTGTTTCTCTTATAGATTTTTAGACTTAAGTGTTACGATCTCACATCAGATGTTTAATTTATCTTCCTTCTGATTCTGAGAGTGGGAGAGAAGCGAAATATCAACAGCAAAGTCCAGATCACCCAGCTGAGTTTTTTTCCGAGGTCCACTTTATTCCATTTCCTAGCTACTGACAGAAATGTAATATAAAGAATCTGAACATGTTTTATATATGTTTAAAAATAATAGTAGTTTGTTTACATTTTCTGTTGACAGATGTATGCATCCCTCTCACATAGTTTGTTTACATTTTCTGTTGCCAGACGTATGCATCCCTCTCACATGGCGAGTTTCAGCTGATTAGACAGACATTACTTAGTTTTTTTCAAGACATGCATATTAGGGTAAGTATGTGTCAGCATATTAAATGAAGTGGAATATATAGCACCGCACGAGGTGCCTTATATGTGGAAGGATCATTTGATACATTTATCTTGAATGTCACTTTCTCTGTCTGGGTTCCAAGGCCCCATTAAAAGGAAGAAGGAATAGACCCACTGCTCGCTAACAAGCATATAATAAAAGTCTTCTTCTTCTTCTTCTTCTTTCATTTGCTTGAAATGGATGATCTGTATCTGCAGTATTTTGTTTCTAGTATGAAGTTCACTGTCTTTTGTAGTACACTCAGTGACTTGTAAAGTTTGACTTGCACGGGTGTTTCTCTTAGCCAGTAGTTTTGCCTTCATATGTTGTATGGGGACGTGATCTGTTGTCTCAGGTGCCAATCCACATGTTCACATGGCTGATTCACTAATCTTAAATTTTGTCTTATAGATAGGGATATATTCTTCAGTCAGAGTGCATTTGCTTGAGACGGCGAGGAACCAAAACTCTGTATACAAATAAGCCACATCTGTCAAATGAATGCACATGCAAACTCAAGTTCAGAAACAAAACTATCATCCATTAGTGGACAAACAAACAAAACTTTCTGCCATAGTTTACAGTCGGTTAATGTGAAGAAGAGGGAGGCTTTCAGTTGGATGTTTAGATTATGGCCGGAGCTACAGAATTTGTGTTCTGTGCGATGTTTCAGTAGGCGGCTTGTCATATATTATCTGTTTAATGCAAAAGCATGAGACATGCTAATTTTTCAATCTCTTTGTATCCCTGCACGAATCTGTTACATGTGAGCTGTATTATTTGTCTTTTTGTCAGTTCTCAGTATTCTGACAATTTTACCTGTGCTGTAAACACACATGCAAATACTGTTAAAAGGACAAATTACCAGAGAATCACAGAAGAAGATTAAGGTGGAGGAGGACAACAGTTTAATGAGTATCACATACTGAATTGAAGTATTAATTCCTGTTTTCTTTTATTTCAACTTCCAACAGGTTTCTATTTTCCTAAAGGATAAAGTTCAGAACAATAGTGGCCGGTTTCTCATAACCCCTGGAGGTACTTTACCTTTTGGTACTGAAACACCTGGAACAATCCGGTTAGTTTTATATCCTGGTTATATTGTTGATGACTGTGATGCTTTGGTGCTTTAGTCAACTTCTCATTGACAGATGTTCTGCTAATTTATGCACTGCATCTGTCCAAAAAGAATCCGGCATTTTTTTTTTTCAAGGAGAAAAATCAGTCACGGGTTATGTCCTCTGGCAGATAATATGTAGAAAACTGCCAGTGAATTGTGGAATTAGTTGTACAGTCTTGGAAATCAAGTCTTAAATGTCAAAATGGAGATATTCCTCATTCATAATCATCATGTACGGCAGTGTCATTCATTTTCACCATATTCTTCTTTACTCTCATTGTGGGTATGCTCCAATAGGTCACAGATGCTACTAAAGAGTTCTGCCTAGAGCGCTAGTGGCCACCAACTTTTTTTTTTTTTTTTTTATAAATAAGGCCATGTCTGGATTATATTGACAGACAAAGAAAGAAATGGTTCAGCCATCTTTTGAGAATGCAGCCAGATCAAACTGCATATGAGACTTTTTACAACAGAGCATCTTGGAAGGAAGGCAAGGGGAAGGCAAAAAAAGAGATGAATAAATGATGTAGCTTAAACCTGCAAAAACCTGAACAAATCCATCACCCAAGCCACCCGAGAAGCACAAGACCATACAGAAAACCATGACACTGGGCTATAACCTGGCATCAGTGAGACGACACAAAAAAGAAGAAATCTATTTTCCATTTCTTAAATCATTGCTGGGCTAAGCTGCTTTATAGGCTAGATAAATAGACTAATAAAGAGGATCTAAGAAAAGGAAAACAACATAAGTGCCAATACCATTGAAACAGGTTTGCATAGTTTATTAACATTCAGCACACTGATGGGCATTAAACACTGCAGTAACAAAAAAAACAACGATATGTACTTTTCAAAAGACAGTTGACTTGCTTCAAGAATAAATCATCATCAGTTTGTTAACAGGGATTCATAGTTGCTGATGTGTTGAATAATGATTTGGTGAACTGCACGCATTATTAAACTATTTGCAACAGTGGATAAATTATGCAGGAATTAACCTCGAGGGCTCATAATGCTGAAGAAGAAGAAGCTGAAAATAAAATTCTCACTAATCAGTTAATGCACATTCATGTATTTGCCATTAGAATACATCCATAAATAGAAGAAGAGTTATTTTAGGTGTCAGAGTAGTCATGTCTCAAATATAAACTGTTACATTTGCATCAGACAGTTATTTGACAAGAAAGTTTTGCTACATCACACATATCTAGGAAGGACAGAGCAAAGATGATGTGATAGATGAGTTTGTTTCCTGATGTGTGTCTAATGGGAGAAACATTCGAATTTCATGGAAACTTTATTTATTGTGACTGAGTTGGTTAAAATGTCTTTTATACATACAAAGTGACACAAAATATAAGTATATAGAATGGAGGATGAGTATGAATGGGTAAGATGCTAGGATGTTGATACAGTTATCAAGTTTTGAGGTTGGATGTTTATGTCTACATTTCACAGGCATTAGTGAACGTGTTGATAACAAGTGCTTTGAGTAGTCTTTTTTTTAAACAGTTTTTTACATGCTGTATTGTTTATTTTTTGCATAAATTGAAATGTTATAGGACCCCGTCTCCATAGCATGGGACATATTCCTGCTAGAGTATTAGAAACTCTTATCATTGTTTTGTAGCTGTCAGATCCTCCAGAGACTGATCACTGAGAGAACTGTTGAGATACCAGCTCTTTCCAGTGTCTCGCTGTCTTTGATCTTGTCTTGCCAAATATTCTTCTTGCAATTTTACAAACCAGTTTATCACTTCATTTTAGAGTGGCATGTCATTCTGAAACATAACTGCATAAAATTATTATTAATTTGTTAATGTTTGGATTTTTAAAAACTGTAATTGTTTTTGTGTCTTCAGATTGTTTAATGAGAATGGAAAATCTAGAAGCATCAGCTTCCATAATGGTGCCAGCTACAATGCTGCAACAAAGGAAGGATCATTCGATGTCAGCGGAGATCGTGTCACACAGCTTGGAAGCAATATGTAAGAATGTTTACAACTTATCTAGTTTATATGTTTCAACAGATTTAATATAAATAGACTGAAAAGTGCTCCTGGCAAAAGATATTTAATAAATGTTTCATATGTGGGGAAAATGTATGCAAAGATCTTAGAAGGTAGGATAAGAGCAAAGGTTGAACCTCTACTGAGTAAAGCACAATTCGGTTTCAGGAAAGGGCGAGGTTGCACTGATGCCATATTTGCACTAAGACAAGTCTGTGAAAAGACACTCGAATACGATAAAGAGCTGAACGTGGTCTTTGTAGATCAAGAGAAGGCATTCGACCGTGTAGACAGAGATGTGCTGTGGAGAATTCTTGACGATTACGGAGTGCAGGGTCAATTATTAGACAACATCAGAGCCCTCTATGAAAAAAGTGAAAGTGCAGTAAGAACATCTAGTGGTCTTTCTGAATGGTTCAAAGTCACAACTGGTGTCAGGCAAGGATGTGTACTGTCACCATTACTTTTCATAACATACATGGATAAGATCACTGTAGAAGCAAACCCAGACGTGTATGCTATAAACGAATTACTTTTTGCTGATGATCAAAGCATACTGTATCAAAATGAATATGATTCTACAGGAACATCTGGACTACTCTCAACAAACAGCTGTTTACAACATAATATGAGAATCAGTACAGAAAAAACAGAAGTTATGAAGATCAGCAGAACACACAGGCCACTGAATATAAATGTTGGAAGTGCCAAAATCAAGCAAACCAAAGAGTTCAAATACTTGGGCAGTATATTTACAGAGGATGGAAGAATGGACAGAGAGATAGAAACAAAGAATACAGAAAGCAAATGCTGTCACATACCAACTATCACCTTCTGCTTAAACATCCAGATATAACCATGAAGACCAAAAGACAATTGATAAACACCATCTTCATTCCAACACTCTGCTACCAGTGCCAGACATGGACAATCAACAAGACCCATGAAAGAAAAAATAGAAGTCTGTGAAATGAAATGTCTAAGAAAAGCAAATAAGACCAGACTAGACAGGATAAAGAATATAGACATTAGAAACACTGTCAAAACTACACCATGTTTAGACTACATAGAACATCAAAGAATGAAATGGTTTGACATCTAACCAGGATGAAAAATGATCAATAACATCACAAATTTCAACCAAAGAAGCTCAGGATATAAGGCAAGAGGAAGACAAGGAAACTGTGGATTGACGGGGTCTCCGAAACCTGCCAAAAGCATGGCCTCAGAACATCAGATGCTGCCCGCCTTGCTTATGACAGGAACTTGCATCTCCCCACAACGCTTAGCGGCATACGTGGAAGGAAAAAGTAAAAGTAAGTCATATCTTTAACGAAGTTTCTCCTAATTCTCACTGTAGGCACACATGATCATGTTCTGGGCATGTGTCTGTTAGTTTCAGTGATTACAACAAGTGTTTGAAAAACATTGTATAATTATTTTTTATACTATGAGACCAGCCATTTTTTTTAAACTGAAAAATATACTAACATTTTTTTTCACAGAAATTAGCACATAAAAATTGGTTCAGATGTAATATATATTTTAAAAAAAAAGCATTGCCAAATTAAGACTGTTTTACAAGAATAAATAAATTTGAAAACATAAATATTTTGGACATTTATTCCTATTATTATTGCAGAGTGTGCTTATATAGCTTTAGTAACAATGTCTTTCCATAGCCTTCTGTTATATGCACCATTAGTTATTTATGATACTGATGTTCTTAACCATGGGAGAGATAGTTATAGATGATATTATCACACAGACTGTAGGAACACACCATGCAGCTAATTCTTTGAGAAACAGAAGATCAAATGGTTCAGTCATTTAGTAAGAATGCAGCCAGAACAACTACCAGTGCAGGCACTACACATAAAAGATCTGAAGTGAAAGCAAGAGGCCACCCAAGAAGAAGTTGGATTGATGACTATTAAAGAGTTTCCATTTCAACACGTAATGACAGTAGCCAATACTGCCCATCAAGTAATGAATTGCAAACTATTCCTCCCCACAACTCTTAATGGATGGCAAAAGTGTAAATTAATAATGATATTCTTCCATGCCATGATGTTAAACTGCTTTGCATTTTCTGTCAGTCCTTTTTTTCTCATAACATATGCAAAGAATGTGAACAGTTTGTTTTTAATGTGGGAAATGGGTTCTCTTGAAAGAACTATTTAAAAAAAAAAAAAAAAAAAATTACTAATTTTGGCACTGGGCGGAATAGCACTGAGGAATAGCTTGGTCTGTTTTATAACTCAACGTAATGTATATTTATTTTGTTTTAGGTATTCTTTGTCCAGGCCAGCAGATACCAGCACAGGGACTAGCATGAAATCTGTGGTACAAGGAAGTGATGTGGTCAGTATTATTTATATCTAAGGGAACAGATGTAATCAGCAAAACTGGAGACAAAGATTATGGTACAAGGTGCTAATGATAGGCTTGCCCTCTTCAATTATACTACTTTTATACATGTGATAATTCTATTTTTAAAGTTGTTGGTATTTCTTGTACATATTTTTTATTTTTATTTGTCAGTAATTTTTTTTTTTAATCTTTTTGTCACATCCATAATCATATCTCACAAATGCTGCTGGATGTTTAAAATGATTGAGCTGTAGATTTGTATACCTTTACTGTATATAAAACGTGTAATTTGTGCTTCCTAACAATTATTGAAAACTTCTGTTTTCTTACTCTCCTTCGCCACTGTGTCTAAAATGGTTTACAGACTATTTTCATACTCTGTTAGAGTGCCTAATTAGATCATTTCAGAATATTTATAACTGCAGCTCCCTCTGTATTTCTTAGTGTTTACTCACTGTATATGTTGCAAATATGATTGTGTGAACTGACAAAACACATCCATATATATATATTTATGTGTGTGTGTGTTTTGAAAAGTCCTTCAGATATAAGCATAGGTCCTTTTACAACTTTCCATGACCATCAGTAAAGTGAAAATTGCATTCCTGATGCCTTCATCTGTAGAAAATTGAGCTTTTGAAATTTCTGGTTGTATTCTATTTCTTATCCATTCCAATATAATATGAACAATGACTTTGGGAATGTGACTCATTAAACTGATTGTTTTAATAGATATATGTTGTTACTAGCTTTGAGCTGTTGTGGAGAACTGATCTGCAAATATTTGAGATGATTTCTCCAGTGTTATACATCTTGTTCAACCTCTTGAGTTAGCAGACTTGCTAAAAATAGAACAAAGGAGAAACAACACACCCATCCATTGTCATTACCAGAAATCAGAACACTTATTCAGGAAAAATACAAAGAATTGTGGTGAGAACAAACTAACAGTAAACATCCACAAGACCCCATCAGCAGACTCAACAGAAAGCAACATACAACAGTTTTCCATCTATGAACAGGTCACTGCAGGCTTAACTACCATCATCATGTAGCAGGTCCTTTGCAGAACGTCGCTCTCATCACAGTCTGCCTGAAAGAAACTCGGTCTCTCGCCAGTTCTCCTACCTCATGTACTTTCATACTCAAGGAGTCACTTATATCCTGTGCCCATCTTCGTGTCGGTCAACCCCTGGCCCTCCTTCCTGGTACCATGCCTTCTGCTAAAGTTTTTTCCAATCGGTTGTGGCGCTTAATATGACCAAAATATTTCAGCTTCCGAGAAAGGATGCTGTTTATTAACCAATCTTCCTTGATGTTCAGATCTTTTAAGATGTCAATATTTCTCCTCTTCTTTGTCCAAGATATTCTGAGAATCTTTCTATAGCATTTCAGCTCGAAAGCCCCTATTCTCTTTCTTAAGGAATGAGAGATAGTCCATGCTCAACTACCACGTGCATAAAATAAAGATTGTAGTCTCCACAGTGTGCCTGTGAAACAGGACTGCAAAAATGTGAGCACGTTCTGCAGACCTGCCCACTCTACCTAAAACTTCAAAAAGACACCTGGCCTCAAAAGCAAAGTGTGCAGAGCAAGCTATGGGGAACCATGAAGGACCTGCTACTGAGAGTTCATAGAGGCATGGTCTGATCTGAGCATACGAAACCAAACGCAAAGAAGAAGTTCAAGGTCTGTGTCATTTCCTCTATGCCAAGTTCTCCCACTACCTCATGTCTCAGAAATAATGTCCGGCCCTAGAGCCATGTTTTTTTTCAAATGTTTACTTGAGTAGTACAAGTTATTCTATATAGTGGCTTATGTTCCCCTATTATACCATGTCTGGATTATATAGACAGACAAAGAATAAAATGTTTCATTCATCTAGTGAGAATGCAGCCAGACTAAACTGCATATGAGACTTTTTACAGCAGGAAGAGGAAGGTGGGAGGAAGACCAAGAAAGATATAGATGTAGCAGAAACCTACAAACAGATGAACAAATCCATCACCCAAGAAGCGCAAGACAAGTACAGAAAACCAGGACACTGGGCTAAAACCTGTTATCAGTGAGGAGACGAAAGAAGAAGAAGGCTTATGTTCCCCTTTTGTACAAAAACAAAACAACAAAAAACACCAGTTACATTAAAGACTGACATTTCATGGAACAACAACAGCAAAACCAGAAAATCAAAATAGTGTTTCCCTGTTGTGAATTCAAAGAAAGAGGATACAAACAATAGTTTGCTTAGTTTACTGTCGTAATCCAGCGTATCACGATCGAAACCCACTGCTGGCTGCGTGGATTTTTATCATGGTATGGGGTGTCGCAGGTTGACCCAGCCTAAAATGGATGCCAGGATGGGCTGTCCTGGGAAAGTAAAGGCAGCCGGCATAATGCTGACCACATTACCCACCGAGTGCTGATGGTCTGTAAAAATATGGGCACTCTTCCCATATGCCCGATACACCTAAAGGCGTGGAAAGGGATCTTTACTTTACTTTTTACATATTTTACTGTATCTCATCAAATACATATTTCAAAAGAAGTATACAGTTGACAAGATACAGCTAATGATGCCAAGCATTAAACTGTGCAGTGTTCAAAAAAGAACTGAAAACAGACTTTGTGGACTGTTTGTTTATTGTGCACTGATATGATTATGTATGTTCTTTGAAGGATGTCACCAGCCCTGATCCACTTGCTAAAGCCCATCTGGATCTTTTGGCACAACTGATTGGGGCTAATCTCACAACAAATGAATTCAGATTGAATCTCTTCACAAATGACAGAGAAGAAGAGTAAGTTTACTTAAAAAGCTAATAGTAAATGACAACATTCATGTCATGGGGTTATATGGTGTCAGTCTTTTATTCTTCTCCCAGGCCGACCCAGTCTTAAATTTGTACCGGCTGAAATCCTGGGAGGTAAAGGTGGTCGCTGAGATATTGATCACATCACCAGCTGAATGCTGATTGGTCTATAAAATATAGGTCTGGCACTATATGACTAATATGCCTAAAAGCATGGAAAAGGGTCCTTTACTTTACTCATACGAAATAATTGATGTGGTCAGTATCATGAAAGCTGCCTCACGTGTTTTTTTCCTCCATGTACAGGCAATGATGGAGTTATAGTGGTAAGTAAAGAATATAATGTAAAGGGTAACCACTAAACTTACAGGGAGTCGCTTTGTATTGAGTTGAGTTGAGAACTAACAAAACATGACTCAGGACAGTTGAGTTGAGAACTAGCATAACATGACTTAGGACAGTTGAGAACTAACATGACTCGGAACAGTTGAGTTGAGAACTAGCATAACATGACTCAGAACATTCCTGGCAAGAAAACCATCTCAGGGAAGTTTCTTGATACCCATTTCAGGCTGGGTTGACTTGGGAGTACAAAAAAACAAATCCCACCTCAAAGGGAATTTGAGCACATGACCCCCAGGCTAGCGTGCTGACCACTGTATTACCACCACTCCCAGTGTTTAGTTTGGTTTATGGTGTATGAAACAATTAAATGTGGTGATATCTGCATTGTAGATTTGTGTTTGAAAGTAGCGAAGAGTTCCAATTCCGATGGCACCAGTAACTGTCTGATTGTATATCCGTCTCACTTCCCCTTTGTGGTGAGTACAGACCAAATCTCCTTGTAACTCCTCGCAGCGCCATTCTCCCCAGACCGTAATATCTATCTGTGTCTCCTCATTGTTCAATCGCTGCTGAAGAGCCTTCACAACATCCAGTATATGTACTCTTTTAAAATGAGTTAACTGGTTCATTGTATAATTTTGCTTGTTATTATATTTGTTACCTCAAATTTCTCAAACTACTTCTTTATAAAGTTCAGGTCTTGTGGCATTTGTCATAATTATGGCAGTCGTTCCCTTGTGGGTACAATTTTTCGTTATTTGAAGCCCCACCCTGGCTTTTGCCGGGGGCCCTGAATATAGTTGGGTCATAAATATGGCCTAACAGCTGAAAGGTGTTTCTGGAACCTCTCCATGGGTGATCCTGATCCGCATGGTGGCACTTTGTGTCACCGGGTGTTTATTGCTTGTGTGATGTCCTGGTGGGGTACAACAAGAGAGAGAGTGGGGTACAACAAGAGAGAGAGTGGGGTACAACAAGAGAGAGAGTGGGGTACAACAAGAGAGAGAGTGGGGTACAACAAGGAACAGAGATTTGTCATAATTTATTATACATGTTTAAATGTATATGTAGCTTTCATAAATTTAACCCCAGATGTGCAATATTGTGTGCAGTATTAGTTTCTTTGTTACTGCTTTTGTTTCCAGAGAAGCCTCTACTACATCACTACAGCTAGTTGAAGCAGCTGAGCCCGAAGTGGTAAAAATAGATGCCTCAAAGACAACAAAGAGCAGTGAGCTGACCAAGATAATTGGTGAAATGACATTGGATCAGACTGAAGTTGGAGGGGATGACAATGACTTGCTTGACCTCATGGATAGCTGAATTTGGAGCTCTCAGATTTGTCATCTTTTCTTCTTCTTCTTCTTTTCTCTACTCCTGGAATGCCTTGCGGCATCAGGGCAGGAATAGATCTCTGCAACGGACCCTTATGTTAGCTTAATATAAAGTACTTTTCACTGACTCTGATATTTCTGCGGCTCATATTCTGAATGGTCGACCTCTGGTTCTGTTACCATTGTGTCTGTATAATATTGCTCTCTGTGATGCCCTGTTTGATGCCAATCTCGTTACGTGGTCAAACCATTTGATTTATTGTATAAATATGTCTTCTGCTTGAAATACTATACAGTCTTCTGCTTAATCAGATAGACATCCTTAAAACTTCAGAAGTGACATTTTTGTTTCTACTTTTCTCTTGTCTTCTTCTTCTTCTTTATTAGTCATACATTATGTTATTGTTCATGGTGGTATGTTGACAGCTTCCGGTCTTATGCACTGCCAGTAATTTCCAGCACAGTTTAGTCCACAACGCAAACCAAACCTACATCTTTCCAGTGATAATTTCTTAGTCTCTCTGTAATACCACCAGTATGTATGTATGGAGACTCTTTGCAGGCTGTTGAGGAGGGAGATGATGCTAATATGGGCTTGGCCAGAATGCCGTGATGTCACATCTTTACCCAGATCTATAATCCCATATTTATCATGACTGTTGAAGCCCCAATGAAAATTAATTCACTTATGATAAGAAAAGATAGTGTGTGTATGTAGGTATATATCTATGTATGTACGTAGGTATGTATGAATGTGTGTATATAATATATATTCTACATTCTCAAGACTGTTATCAGTTTTCATATTAACCTTTATAATCTAATCTTAACTATCAATTTATGTGTAAAAGAAATCTTGTTATCTGAGTAATTTCCCTCTGTGACTTGTCTCTGTCTAGCTGTAGCCTTCACACCTGCTGACTGAAGTCTGTTATTTTTGATTGATGTGTATTTCTTCAGTATCTGATGAATGAATACTTGCGCATTTTATTCACTTGCTGTATTATATGTGATGCATAGCACCTGTACATTTGTGACATATTCCACCCAATGAGACACTTTGTCTAGTAAATAGTAAACATGACTTGTTAGTAATTTAGCAATGGTAAACATTAACATCAGCACATTGTTACAGTCTGAGAAAGGTGTTTTTTGTTGTTGTTGTGTGGATCAAATAACCACATTTGCAAAACAATGAAGACTTAATTTATTGAATATGTTTGTTTTATACTTGTTGTTATGAAATTGTTCTTTGTGCATCTATTGTGGTGTTTTCTTTAAACCTTGAAACTAATCATTCTGGCAATTCAAACAAAATTATCTCTGATAAAATCAGACTGGATTAAAATGGCATTCTGGACAAAATAATGACAAGTCACACAAGGCGGATTACAGAAAACTGCAAAAACAACCAAAATAATGAAATGAAGTAGGAAAGGTTTGGATACAGTTGCCTACGTATGAAAATTTGCAGTTAAAACACACCATTTAGAAGGATTTAATTAATTGCACTGAGTTTTTGCCTTACATGGCTCAGTCTCTGTATGCAGAGTTGTTGGCCACAAGACAGAGTGGTGCAGAGATTATAAGCTCTATAACTTTTACAATGATCTCCAGGAATGTATCAAAATGAGGCACTTATGAAACAAACGACACCGCAGGGCATGAATGAATGAGGAATGAATTGACATCACTGCACTCAGGACATTCCTACACATGCTCCGTCCCCTCCTTCAGTAGCTATAAGACAAATGGCTTGACTGCTTTGCCAAAGAGATCTGCACATAAAACTAACTGCTACCAGATGCAGAGCAAATGAACACTAAGAATTTAAACTATGACCCCCCCCCCCCCCCCCCCCCCCCCCTTAATTTTTGGACCCAGTCAGATGCTAATTTAACATGTCACATCCTGAACAATTGTTTCATAAGCGCTCTGTCCCCAGCTCCAGCAGCAAGCATAGAGTTCTGATTCAGCTGTATATTCGTAACATTAATGTATGTCCATCCTGCCTTTTCCTTGAGTGTCGAGCATCAGCCAGAGCCTCTGGTCACTACTCACAACACCATTCTGCTCAGACTGTGATTATTTGTTTGTGCCTCTCACTGGTGATTATCTGTTTGTGCCTCTCACTGGTGATTATCTGTTTGCGTCTCTCACTGGTGATTATCTGTTTGCGCCTCTCACTGGTGATTATCTGTTTGCGCCTCTCACTGGTGATTATCTGTTTGTGCCTCTCACTGGTGATTATCTGTTTGTGCCTCTCACTGGCGATGATGATCTGTTTGTGCCTCTCACTGGTGATTATCTGTTTGTGCCTCTCACTGGTGATTATCTGTTTGCGCCTCTCACTGGTGATTATCTGTTTGTGCCTCTCACTGGTGATTATCTGTTTGCGCCTCTCACTGGTGATTATCTGTTTGTGCCTCTCACTGGTGATGATCTGTTTGTGCCTCTCACTGGTGATTATCTGTTTGTGCCTCTCACTGGTGATTATCTGTTTGTGCCTCTCACTGGTGATTATCTGTTTGTGCCTCTCACTGATGATTATCTGTTTGTGCCTCTCACTGGTGATTATCTGTTTGCGCCACTCACTGGTGATTATCTGTTTGTGCCTCTCACTGGTGATTATCTGTTTGTGCCTCTCACTGGTGATGATCTGTTTGTGCCTCTCACTGGTGATGATCTGTTTGTGCCACTCACTGGTGATGATCTGTTTGTGCCTCTCACTGGTGATGATCTGTTTGTGCCACTCACTGGTGATGATCTGTTTGTGCCACTCACTGGTGATGATCTGTTTGTGCCACTCACTGGTGATGATCTGTTTGTGCCTCTCACTGGTGATGATCTGTTTGTGCCACTCACTGATGATGATCTGTTTGTGCCACTCACTGGTGATGATCTGTTTGTGCCTCTCACTGCTCTAACAACATCTGGCTTGTCATGCATCCATTCACTACCAAGTGGTGCAGAACCAGCCAGTCTATCTCACTGTTCATTTTCCAGTACACCAGCATTACCTGGAGAAAATATCCAAAGGATGCTAACTATCCAGGACCTCTGAAGCGATGCTTGCCACTCTGCATGGAGCATACCTATCTCCACCGTTCACAACATGCTGTGTGAGTCAGTTACAAATACTTATTCCTTATTGTAAATCAGGTCAGCGCCTGGAAGAATTCAATTGATTGCATTATAAGGAACAATTGTTTAAAGCAGAATTATAGATAAAATAGATCATTGCGCCAGCTGGATGATGGAGTTACAGACTTGAGAAAATAATATTATGTAAAGAATAACCACTGAATATACGGGAAGTTGCTTTCTACTGAGTTTAGTTCTTAGTAGGGCTGTACCGAATAGTGATTTTCGCTATTCGGCCGAATACAAATAGCGGGACCAACTATTCGGCCGAATACAAATACGAATATTGTATTATCATCATCACCAGGTGCCTTGGCGACTGGCGTGGGCGATTATGCCTCGCCACAATCTGCGATCTCCTGCACCATGTATTAGTTCGTGTGCTGGCACATCTCCATTCCATGCAACAAGACTGCCAAAAATTTTCTCCCGTTGTCTTCCTCTATCCCTCCTTCCACATATCTTTCCAGTGGTCCCCACATGTTCCATTTTCCCTCTTCTCATAACAAGGCCGAAAAATGATGACTGTCTCCTTCTGATGTCTGTGATTAGTTGTCTTCGGGCTCCCACCTCTTTCAAAACCTCTGGCGTGGGCGATTATGCCTCGCCACAATCTGCGATCTCCTGCATCATGTATTAGTTCGTGTGCTGGCACATCTCCATTCCATGCAACAAGACTGCCAAGAATCTTCTCTCGTTGTCTTCCTCTATCCCTCCTTCCACATATCTTTCCAGTGGTCCCCACGTGTTCCATTTTCCCTCTTCTCATAACATGGCCGAAAAATGATGACTGTCTCCTTCTGATGTCTATGATTAGTTGTCTTCGGGCTCCCGCCTCTTTCAAAACCTCTTGGGTGCTTTTTTTTTTTTTTTGTGTGTGGCTGTCTAAGGTATTTTAAGCATCGTTCTGTAAAACCACATCTCTAAGGCCTCAAGAAATTGTTTGGCCTGCCTACTGATTGTCCAGGACTCACAGCCATATGTTAAAACTGGATGCATGTAGAAAGCAAGAATTCTTTTTCTAACCTTCAATGACAAAGATATATTGCATAAGATGTTCTTCATTTTATAAAATACAGTTTTTGCCTGTCCTATTATGTTTCCTATTTCAGTAATGCACCCTCCATCTGATGTTATCCATGTTCCAAATTCGCATTTAAATCAGTGTTCGCTTAGCCGTTCGTTCGATGTAATTTAAACGCGCCTTCATATTCTCGTTAGCTAGATCTTCAAATTTGATTTGTGCAAAGACACCCTGAAAGAACGAAAAAATGCATGATCTCTCTCTCTCTCTCTCTCTCTCTCTCTCTCTCTCTCTCTCTCTCACACACACACACACACACACAAACTCACACACACACACACGGGCAACAAAAAAGAACGCATTGCCTTTAAATATAAGTACTTACTTAACGAGGCTAAAATTACTATTGTACAGACCACATTTTTTACTTTAAAATTTCAGCCAAAATGTAATCACAACCTTATCCGCTGCACCTTCACAAATACAGATGGAGGATCGGTCGCACCTCGAAATAAATACAAAGACAATTTGCTGTGGTTGGCATTTTATGCAATATGATACACTTTGTGTGTGAAATAAGGGGGAATAAAAACTCTTGTCGACAGTGGCGAGGATAGAAAATTTAAATGTTAACTTTTAAGTATCTTCATGCCTTCTTTAATGTCACAATTTATAGCCGACTTTTCTTGATTTTCGCCGCGGCACTCCTGGCATATGTACCCAGTTTGAGAACCTCTGCTGAAATGCCTCGGTCGAGTCAGCAGGCAAAGATCTTACCAGCTGCTGGACCACGCAACGGGGTCACAGTTTCGCAGACTTAG